ACATTCTGTGATTCTGTGAATTTTATCTTAACACGTGTAAGCTTAAGGGGTTTGTTTGTAGTTTAAGGAAAACCTGAGAAAGGTTTAGTTTAAGGGACTGGTGCCCCCCATCCCTGTGTAGGGGGAGTCACTGAAGTTCAGGCTTTACCCTGCCCACCACAACTCCAGCCTGGAGGCACTGACCTCTCCTGGGGGAGGAAAGGGAATTCATTTTCAGCTACATGCATCTTATAAATAGAAGCCTGAAAAGGCATAGCAGAAAATTAGCAGCCCCATACTGATTAATTTAATGTGTTTGTAGTTTATATTATCTATTCATAAAATTTGGACTGTCTTTATGGTAGTGCTGGTCCTTGTTATGTGTAAATGTTGAAGCACTTTTGTGTGGCGTGTAGCTGAGAAGTTCAGATCGCAGCAAGTAACTTTGTTATCTTTAACAAGACCTTTGTAGTCACCCCTAACAGCATCTAGTCAGAGTGTTTTCATTTTGGAGTGTTTCAGGTCAAGATGCAGAATCAGTTCCAGCTGTTTCAGTCATTGTCCCCCATGCAGTGTGTCACAGGTGAAGCTATAGGAAGAAGTTTGTGAAGCATCTGTCAGAGTCTTTAGGCTGTTTCTGTCTCACCTCTGTGTATGTGTGAGTGTTAATGTGGAACCTGTCCTCTTAAACTGGGAAGAAATAACCAGAGTATCTGAAGCTGAAGTTGCTTAGGCTTGATGGAAGCTCCCCTGCAAAACTCCCAGGGGATTTACACAGGTTAACTTGCTTTTGCAGGAGGGTGATGAGATGTTTCATTTCACTTCTGAATTCATCTCTCCTATCTGGTTGTGTATTTGAGGTTAAATTGCCTGAGGTTTGGGGATTTTTTTGTTTGCTTTTAATTAATTTACTACTTGTTTTTTTAAAAGCCTTCTTTAGTTTTAACAAGTCATTCTTTGCCTCATTTAGATACAGAGGATGCCAGTGAAACTGACCTGGCAAAACACGAGGAAGAGGACTTTGTAGAAATGAAAGAACAGTAAGTAACTCATTCTAATAAAAAATCAGTAAACAAAATGTTACCTTTTGTTTCACAGAATCACAGAGTTGTAGGGGTTGGAAGGGACCTCAGGAGATCATCCAGTCCAACCCCCCATCTGGTGTTTTTTTTCCCCTACCTCAGGAGATCATCCAGTCCAACCCCCCATTTGGTGTTTTTTTTCCCCCGTAAAACTTTGCAGTGTTTTGGGCCAGGGTTGGAGTTTTAAGTGCCTAGCCCAATGTAATAGTTGATGAGTCCATATACTCGTATTTCTTCTCTCCTTAGTTACTTTCTCTGCTCTATGTGTATTCAAGAAACTAAGTGCTCCTACTGTTTTGAACAAATAAATAGGCATGAGTTTCTGGGAGCAGCTGAATTTTGCTGCAAATGAATCCTGCAGCAGACAGATCCTTTAAATAAAATAAAGGATCTACTTTATATAAGCCAAGCAAAAAGCAAAATGTCAATTAAAATCCCTTAAACAATGGAATGCTAGTCCTGTCCAACAAGATGGGCTTTTGGAGACTTGAAACAGTTTCCCTTGATGTTTAGGTGTATTTGCAGTATTTTGTGTTCTTGCTTACTGGCAGGGACATGTTTTTATACAGATCAGGAAGACCTGGCCTGTGTTAAACCAAAGATACATGAGAAAGGAAATGCAAGTTTGCAACAGCACCAGAAATAAACTCTGGGTTTTATTTATGATGTCAAGATCTGTGTGAGGCAATGGCCTCTGGTTTATAAGTGGGGAACTAATACACAACCCTTAAGACTTGTCAAACTTGCAGAATGATTCTGTTGTAAAGTTTCTGGTGTTTGTAGATCTAAATGTAATTTGAGATTTCAACATTTAAAAACAATAACAAAAAATATTTCCTCTTTTACCCTGAACTGCTCCCAAAATAATTGGTTGGAGTGCATTATGAGACCAGTGGGGTGGCAGGGTTTTTGGACAGAGTGATCACCTTCCATTTGAATAATATTACTTTAGTTGTTTATTTGTTTCCTGAAGTTCTTCTGAAAAGTGTTTAATTCTGTGTAAACACATTGTAACCTGAACAGCTGGTGAAATAAAGGATGGATGTTTGTTTTCCAAAGTAAAGTTGCCAGCTCTCTGTCTTTGCAGGATGTATCAGGACAAACTGGCATCTCTGAAGAGGCAATTACAACAGTTGCAGGAAGGTAAGATTTGAAGGGGGTGACTTTTTTCTTCTAAACAATTTTTGACACTTCTCAAAGGTCACAGAAGGATGAGGGTTTTGAAAGATGTAAACAGCATCCTTCAGTGAATGTTGGCTCTCAGTCATGTTGCTGAGTGAAAAATGCCACCCACTTTCCATTCTTTTTCCCTATAAACACTTCTAGTTAAGCCTCTGTGTACCAAAACATTTCTTAAAAGGAGTAGTCAGCTTTCTGAAGAAATGAGGAACGTGCTTATCAAAATAAGCAAACCAGAACTGTAGTTTTCTGACTTCAGATCTTGGTATTTGTGTTTTAAGTGGTGTATGGCTTCTTGAGAAAATTTAATACTTGGAAAAAATAAAATTCCAGTGAGGATCCACAATTTATTTCAACCAGGCACTCTTCAGGAATATCAGAAAAGAATGAAGAAGTTGGACCAGCAGTACAAAGAAAGGATACGGAATGCAGGTGAGCTGAATTTCTTTCTAAGAAACTCCATACAACTTAGTGTTTTTCCTGTCACTTGATGAAAAATGATTATAGCTCTGTCCTTTAAAGAAAAGGAACTTGCTGGAGCAAAGGGTTCTTCTGCTGCCCATGGTATAGTGCAGGTTTTTTGAGAGTGCACAAAGCATGATGGGATCTATCTTGATTTTGTTTTTTTTTCCTTTATCAGCATTGTTTGCTGACTGTTTACTAAGCACCAAAAAACAGTTTTAGTCTTCATTTGTGTGAAACAGTGCAAGTAAAAAGAAAATATTTCATTTTTATCTGGCACAGTGCCTAACTTTGGCTTGTTCTTTTGTGCACCTTGTTTGAGCCCCTCGGGTGAACTGTTTCTCTCAGGCTGCAGAAATGGAAAGTTAGGACTATATGCTTTCCCAAAGATCTGGTTTGTGCCCTGGAACAATGAATCCAGAGGGTTTGCTGCTGAAGCTGTTACTCTGTGTAGCTGTGACGCTGTACTTTATTCTGGTGCTGTGTTTCAGGAGTGAAGGCCCAGGATAATTTTTAAAGTGCCTGTCTCCCAGCCCTTCTGGGTAGTGTTTGTAGTGTTACTGCAGAGAAATGGCTTGGGAATCACATCAATTTGCTTGCCCTCCCTCTTTCTTGTTCTCTTTCCAGTACATTCTTATCTTGGATACTGAGGCAAGGCCTTTTATAGGAGCCATCATGTGGAAATAGGAAAGGCAGCTGTTCTTCCTGTAGAAAGGTTGGATGATGCTGTAATTCCTGGCTGTTACTGTTGGTGATGTGACAGAGGCAGGGCAGTTGTATGATGGCTGATGTACTCCAACCTTTGAAATAGTATCAATTGTGCCTTTCTAAAAGTGCTTGGGAAGGTAAAAGATTTGCATCAGGAATTGAAGTGAATTCAACTACTTCTTGTTAACAGGAATCTGTCTTCTGAGATGAATTTCATGTAAGCTAGAGCTGCATTCTAGTAATATTGGGTTGTGTGGATAAAATTAAGACTAACCTCAAACTTGTATTTCTGGCTGGCAAAGACCAGTGTTGCAGCAACATATTCTTCCACAGGAGGGCAGATGATGATAACTTCTGATTTTATGATAAAAAATTCAACTGTCTAGTGCTACAGGAAGAATGGTCTTTTATGTTTGTGCTTCCCATGTTGAGGTTTTGAGTTTCTTTTAGGGGTTTTCTTTGTTGTTTTTTTGAGAATTCACAGTTATTGAAGCAACAGTTTAGATTTACCTGTATTTGATTACCTCCATAATACTGCTTCCATGCTCAATTGGCAAGCCCTTTGTAAACTAAAGGTTTTATTTTATTAGGCCATTATCTTTAGTATCTTTTTTAATTTATTTTTTTAAAAGTAGTACAGTATTGCTGTATCTTTGAAGCCTGTGATCGTTACAGAAGTTTTTACTATTTCAGGTATTGCCAAAGCTTAATATGCTGGTGAAATATAGTGACTTGAAGACTGATCAGGTGCCTTAGTTGGCTTTTCTTGCCACTGCCTTGAGTAAAACCTTTTTGGGCATTATGTCCTCCAAGAAACACAAGAAGTTCCCATCCTGCTTAATTTCAAGTTGTCAGGAATCGCACAAACATTGGTAGCAGAACTGTCTGACACCCAGAAGTCTATTTACCTCATCTGTAGTTCTGACTTGAACTAATTGTTGCCATGTGTTAGAACTTAACCTTGAGTGATACATAACAATTTCCTTGCTGTTTTCTCAGGCATAAACAGTCTGAAATCAGACATGTGAGCTAAGTTAATGAATCTCCTGTGAGCTGCAGAGTTATTTCTGAACCAGCCATTGCTGTAATTCAGGAAGATGATTTAAACTGTGAATTTTTTCCAGCTGTACATTCAGCTACATGTTTCAAGTGTCTATCTGGGAAGAATTGTATCTAGTATTAATTGATTGTAATTACACTGGAAGATGGACTATATGCTTAGTACTGCTGGGAGTAGTAGCTGAACTGAGTAGTACAGAATACTGCTGTGTAAGCTTTGCAAATCTGCCTGACAATCTGTAGAATACTTGAATTAACAATATATTTTTGTGGAAATTTTTCATAGTTACTGTATTTTCAGCATAAAACTGTAAAGAGGGAGTAGAGGTTGGATGAGAATATATACTATTTAGTTCACTACCTCTCTTGGCTGTAATATTCAATGACTTAAAATGTTAGGGAAATAATTTTGTGCATCTTTGAAGATAATAAATTAAGTCTTTCTTCTCTTTCAGAACTGTTCCTTCAGCTTGAAGTAAGTACTTTTAATTTAACAAAATACATATTAACTAGATGGAAGAGATACAAACCTCCTGTTTCATCAACTAATACTTGTGCTTGTTTTCCTAGAAGGCTTAAAGGAATTTTCTTCCTCTAGCTGGCATTATTACACTGGAGATATAGTACAGCCTACTGTTGGGTTTACTTCAAATAACTTCTGAACTTTGTCATTAATAAAGAAATATTTGCTCTTGGGCTGCTGTATGCTGGCTGAGCATTTGGCTTGCTTGAAAAGCTTGTTTAAGGTGGCAAATGATAGTGCTGTTTATAAATCTGAAGAGCTTTCTGCTAGAGACTTGATATGGTATGCAACATTAAAATGCTTTTTAAAATAATAAATTATTTTGTCAATACAGTACTGCTTCCTTAGTCATTTTTAGGTGGTTTTGTGTTGATAATGAACATTGATAATCTTTAGAACTGGCTCCTGTTTTGAACTGAAAAGCTAATCAACACAGCCATTGAAAGAAGCTGTTGTGACATCATTAACTTGAGTCATCAGATCCTTAGTTAACCTTTTTGTTCTCTTGTTTGCATTAGACAGATCAGGTGGAAAAAAATTACGTCAAGGAAAAGAAGGCAGCAGCAAAGGAGTTTGAAGATAAGAAAATTGAACTTAAGGAAAATTTGATTGCAGAGTTGGAAGAGAAAAAGAAGATGATTGAGAATGAAAAGCTGACCATGGAATTAACGGGAGGTAAAACCAAAATAGGCATCTGTCATTTGTCTTACCCACTCTGCTCCTGCTTAGGAAAAAAAAAGATACAAACCAGCACTGCTACCTTTTTACAGACAGCTAGTGTGAAGGCTTTAAAGCTTTCCAAATGTCAACAGATGTAGAACCATAAATTGGTGATCTTTTAATAGGGAAAACAGTTCATAATAAAATTCAGTGAGCTGAATTACTAGCAGGTGAATCAAAGTAGTGACAGTGAAGCAGCAGAGTGGATAAGCTTTCTTATATACAGGGAAAGGGGCTTCTTTACTTCCTGTTATCTGGCAATAAAACTATTGAGAGGTGCCACAATATTGACCTGACTGGTGGTGCCAGGTTATAAACTGTGTCCTTTTTTCCTCCAGTAATAACTGGACAAGAAGTTGAAAAAAGGCAAACAATAAAGGTTGAAATATGCTACTTAAAGCCAGAAAAATAGATTTGTGATCTACATTTATGTCCAGACTCTGGAAAATGGACTTTAAATGGACAGATTTCTTTCATGAGACTGGTTGGTACCCTTGGCAATGCTCTTTGCAGTAATGGACACAGTGGAGCTAAGTAGAGGGGTAATTAGCCTCCTTCACAAATTGTGTTGCTGTGATACTGAACCAAAAGTCTGAGTTGATTTTCTTTTTAAGAGCAACTCCCTCACTTCATGGACAGATAATGTTGGCTGTGTTGCTGAGGCCTGTCCATGAGTTAGACATTTTACCTCTTTCTTGCATAGTATTTACAGAAGTTATGTAAGCTGATAATTTATTTCGTGTTCAGAAGTGAGAATTAAAACCTGTTTGGACTTATTAGGAGTGCTCTTGTCTTTGTACAAACTGTTAAGGCTAATCTGGTCTGGAAAAGGGATTGAGCTATGCTGATTCCTCTTTTTTTTATTTATGAAGTCTAGTCTGATCTTACAAACTGTGCTGTAGCCTTCACTTCCCTGTTATTATCCTATGCTTGTGTCCATTCACTACTAAGTTGGGATTCAGTACTAATCTTGTAAGCAGATTTTCATTAGTGGATCAGGATCCAACTTGATCTTACCTTTGGAAATCTGCTTACCAATGTTCTAGGAGTCTGAAGGGATCCAATTTCTCTATCAGTGGGACAGCTGTTAACATCAGGATTTGGATTTGCAGAGTTAAAGGGAGACTGAGGAAGGGTAAAAAGAAGTATTTAGTAGTCTGATTTGGGAACCAGGTTAATCCTCTTTAGGGAAATGTGTCCCCCTATTGTTGTGTGTCCTGAAGAGATGAGCTGTTCCATCAAATACAACTCTAGGAAGAAGCCTGTAAGTAACAAGAGATCCATATTGTGTGTGTTAGCCCTCCCTTATCTTCTTCCTTCCAGACTAGC